CGTCACCACGTTTCTATGAATTTGCGAGTGCATCTTCATTGCTGATTATCTAAACAAACGTTGACTTCACTATGTCCAACTTCATATATCCGCCACTCGTCCACCAATCTGCGACACGTCACGTGGACCACTCCGGACAGCTTAGAGGTTTCAAAGATCGAACTCAAACACACGATGGAACTGAGTATCAAATGGTAATCTAGCGGTCCTTAGGCTTCACTTTTACATATGGTTCTCAGGAAAGGCCCAGACTAAAGTTCATATTTAGATTATCGTCTTCAAAATAGGTTTTTCGAAACTACATCTCGAGTGAACAAACAATCAAATTCAAATGGCACTGGAGGATGTTGAAAGAAAGTCATCTCCGCACCCTTTGGTTTGTTTGGATTCTTGAGGATGGCACTCGGTGGGCAAAATGCCGCTCGGACAGTGGTCATAAGTGGCTTAGACATTGAATTTTGTTTATATCGACGAGATTTCGATCACCGGCTCATCTACAGAGCAACGTATACAGCATTTACACTTCCTCTTTGGTCGCTTCAAAAGTTACTGCGTTGTGGTTGGTACAAATCTATTCGAATCTCTGCGTCGATTTCTCAGCACGTGTAACTTTTTATTATCAGCTGGAATTGTAACAAACTTTATTGGAATTAATAATCACTTGTAATTTTGGATTATGATGCCAGATGAAACTCGAACACACCAAGTCCTGATAATTCGAGTAACGTACAGTAAATTTTAATTGTGTTCACAGACTAAATCTAATACATTTACACATTAATTTTTGAACGAAATAACTTCATGATTATTTTTTTAGTCGAAATATTTTAGTCCACCACAAATTCAACGACAGTCATCTTTGTTATTTTAACAGAAATGATTCGAGCTGTCGTGTAGAAATAGCAATGCTGTTGTCTTAGCATTATGTAGTAAATTCCATCGAAAATGAATTCCAAGATCCACCTTCAGTGAAATGAACTCCACCAAACAATATGTCCACTCATTTATTCACTCAGTCACAGTACGATACTCACACTTGTGGTACCCAGTCTCATCACTCAAATAATCATGTGTTGTGGAAAGATGAAGCAGAGTTTGGAGACAAGCATTGAGTGTATGTGATTAGGTGGGATATAATGTTTTATGATTTCATGTGAGAAAATGCACTAAATGTTTGGTCAAGCAGTATATGATGGTTGGTTGAAATGCATTATTAAATTTTTAGACGGTAAAGATAATTTTCACGCTTGTATTGCTTGATTTATTCGTGGCAACAGTGTTTTGGACTGCGATTGATCAGTTTCTTATCGATATATGTGCATCTTGAGAGGATTTTCTCGAAGTTGGCTTGAATCATAAGCATTGTAGGCGAAGATGAACAGTGACCAGCAGTGGAATAAATTGCAATCTGTATGAGTTTAACTTCGTTAAAATCTTCAATTAACCAACTTCTCAGGCAGTGTCATATGATCAACGGTATTGATCCATGAAGATTATTGAATAAACTGAAGTCACGTTACAATGAGCCACTGAACTAGTGGCCTGTGTATCTTGACAACAATTGCCGACGAACAGTACATCACTCCTTCCTTGCGTAGTCATGTCGGCGTCATTTCTTGTTGTTCTAGCACCAATTTCTCAATTTTGAAACTTTCAATATGAACTTACTTCTATGCAAACTAAACTGACATAAAATCATCGTAAACACATTGGGAGGAAATCAAAAAATATTGAAATGAACACTGTCTTTGACTTTCGTCCCTTTGTTTCTCTGATCGTTTGTCTGGATCAATGACTGTATGAAATATATGTATGCCAGATCCATTCTCGTGTTTGTATACGAGGATAGCCATGAATGTATATTTTGACAACAAATATTCATACGATCTAATGTGAGTCAGATAATTGGCCACTAAATCAATCAACTGACATGTGAATGAATATTTGAGTTCGAATAGAGCAACAAGAACACACCTAGAATAGTAGTACGGATACAGATCCAAAGACAAAATCAGTATCAAGAATAAACTTAATCATAGAAGTAGTTTCAATCATTTTCGAAAGGTTGAATATTTACACGTATAATAGTAAGAAATGTTTCACTTCTGTTAATTCACGAAACTGCATTTCAACACCAAACAACGGACAGCTCAAATAATGTTTAATTTCTTGAACGGTTCGGTCTACTTTACTCAACTGTTCTTATCAACCTCATTTAATATTCAGTGAAAACATGCATTTGGTCGGCGGTTAATTATATCTATTGACAATAGCGCATAACCATGTGTTTACTTACAATAGCCCTATGATTATTGTCACAAAAGGAATGAGTTGACAACGATAAGGCCATATTGTCATTTAAATCATTGTGGAGGGATGATATTGGTTTGAGCTATTTTATGATAGCTATTCCGGGAAACCGTAGTAAATTTAAAGTTTTTTGTTAACTGTTGCATGAAACCTGTGAATATTGCCAAACTGAAACATCTATCAGAAGTTGTTCGAACACGTACTCAATATTAAGTACTGTAGGTGGAACACGTGGTTGACAAAATTTTATAAGTACTCAAGTACCAGGCCAATATGACATAAATTACAGTGCTTTGACCAGAAAATATGAACATCTCTTCCCCATTAAAATTCAGGTGTGATTCGCTCAACGTAGTAGATGATTGTCACTGTGTACGGTTCAGTGATATGAGTAATATCAGTTAAATACATGAATTTAAAATTGTCCGGATAGACGTTGCTGTTGGGTGATCTGAATATTCAACTACGAATGCTTTCATAGAGTGAAGTTCATATCAATTCAGCCCTAAAATTAAGAGAAATTTCAATAACAAATGATATTTTAAAATGCATTTATGATCCTGTACAATCTGACTACTTTCACATAATGATGATATCCAACTTCAATCAAGATTCAACTCAAATATACATTTGGTCAACAGTGACGTTTATCTATCCAGAATATTGGGTATAGATAAATTTATCTGTCTCAGTGATTGGCATAAAACGGTGCACAAAACATGAAGTGGATTTTGTGTTCAAGATAATTGACCAAAGTCTTATGAAAATCATGCATGAGACGTAGTAATCAGTCGAATCAAAAGGCGTCGGGATTATTGATGGGAGTTTTATTGATTAATAAAATGGGAACATAAACGCTAGATGATTCTGTAAGAAAACGACCACTTAACTGATTTAGAACTGGATGGTAAATTGTGCAACGCTATTTCTAGCTGAAGCTAGACCTTCTATGAACTATCAGGCAAAATATTTGTTATCACTTCATTTTATTGTTAGAAATGTAGCAATCTTTTATAAAATGAAAGTTTTATTGATCGTTGTTCTGCTTGCATAGATGATGGTCAGTCACATAATCACATTATTAGAAGGCGACATTGTTTAAAGTAAGATCAATATATGTGATGCAATGCAGTTTGCTTAGTGATATTGAAAATGGTGATAGACAACAAGAAAATGTATAATCATCGGTATTTCTTCAGACAAATGAGGTCAACTCATTTAAATCAATAGCAATGGTCTATGAGATGTAAGATTTCATGTGTGTAGATCGTCTAAAGATAAACAGCACACACTGTGGGGAATGATTCCAATACTTCTTTTCGGATTCCTACCGAAATTTAGCAAATTAATGTTGTTTTTATTCTGATGAACAGTAATCTGAGCCAACAGTCTTCTGTTAACGTCTTGTTACTTTCTGTTTGTACTCGTTTATCAACATATCAACACACAGAATCACTGTATTCTAACAAAGTGATCTAATTCAGCTTTCTTGCTGTCATCATTAATCAAGTGTTTCGTGTACGAACTAAATTGATTTGAATGTAGATAAAGAGTTGTTGTTCATTCGTGAAATCAGTTAACATCAATAGAAAATAAACCTTTGCAAATAGAAAAGATCCCAATGGATCATTGGTTCTCCAGAATTTTCTTACGTCAAAGATGAAACACTTTGGTTTAAATCAACGTCAACATAACTCGTTGTATAATATCCCGACCAGTTTTTATACATTTTATCTACATTGAGAACTTTTGACGTTCAATTTTATACACGCAGCTGCGACAAGCTCCAGGAAAATCTAAGCGAGGTCACTGGTCACAAAATATAGAAATCTTCGACAATGACTGATAAATCATACCAGTTCCTATAATTAGTTACGACAAATGTCTTGTACTTCAAAATGTATTTTAGGTTACTTTTATTGTTGAAATAAATCCACCTGTTCTCGATGAAACGTTCTATTTATTACATCTCAATTTTAACTAAACTTAAGTTTGCGTAATCCATTTTGAGCCTCTAAATCGAGGATAATTAGTGATACTATTCATCTTCCTTATCAAAATAATGAACCAATAAATGACTTTGGTCAAGTCAACAGTCGTTTAAAGGTTTACCATAGACATTTCCAAATTTCTGCAAACAATCACAATTCTTTTCAGGTAACACTCGGAACCATCAATCGACCAAAAACTATGGCTGATGTAAAAACAAAACTAACTCTAATCCAAAAACATACCTCTGAATATCTTCGCTTGTTCAAAAGACGTCGTTCTCGTCGCCTCCTACTTTCTGCAGATGTGTTACGTCTTTTTGTTTTGTGTAAAGATAGTGATTTTGCTTCACTGTTTTCGTTCTGTTCTACTGGGACCTGTTTTTGTAGATTTTGGTGGACACTTTGTTTGTTCTTACAGTCCGTACTGTTATTGCAGTTTATTTGTGTGGTAGATCTATTTTCGGAGGATTTTAAATGCTTCATCGAAGAGTTTGACTTCTCTCCTCCTTCTTCTATTCTTTCAACTCCCTCTTTCACCTTGTTCTTTCCATTCCTCAACGAAGACTGCTTGCCAAATTCCTGGTCGATTTCCTTTCGTTTAGAATAGCCGTTAGTCATCACTTCACTAAATTGACCAATATAGTCACATGGATCTATACTTTTAGAGCTGTTGATAATGTCCGTAGACTCATTACACTGTTATGATGAATCTGACCGCTTGTTTGTACTCTCTGACAATTTACTTGTATTAACGATGTCTTGACTAGTGCCATACTGCATGACTTGAGTTATTCTTTCAGATCCATACTTCAAGCTGACTTGTCGCATTTGATTAGCATGGTCAAAGCGAATTACTGGAACAATGCTCAACTCGCGTACTTCACTTACACGAATAAGGACATCACTGGGAGTGATAAGTAATGGACCGTGCACTGCCTCATGTTTTTGCTCTGATATATTCACTTGCTTACTGTTCTCACATGATGATCTGGATTCACAAAACACGCACGTGCATAAACATGAAAGCTTTCTCTATATCGGTACAACAATATTCATGCAAATAAAAGGTACCATGGGATCAAAACATTTTATTAGTCAAAATGAATGAGAAGTCAGTCAATGTGATGTCACTAAGTGAGATTTTCACACATCCTACAGGTTTGGTATACTCAGTCCGAAGCAGTACCTGGGTTATGGGGTGTATTAAATCATTTCAAACCACAGCAGTGCATAAACTAAAACATTTCTTAAAGCTGAATCTTCTGGTCAGCTAATATATTAACACATTTGCACTGGATGAATGAAACAAGTGTGTACAAGCAATTCATCGTCTCTACAATAAATACTGCATTTGAATAATTCATCATAGAAGGTTGGTTGTATATAGTTTAAAGTAGAGAAATGATATACCTTAAATTATCTGCACACATTTCTATGTAAAGCTAAATCAGTCAGCAGAATGATTTATTCAAAAAGAATTGGTGAAATCGACACAACTGGAGAACGGAAATTAACAAAACGAGAGCCAATGAAGGAGAAATGGTATGAATTACATTGCAAAGGGAATGACGAAGATGAAAGAATGGAAATCTGGGAATGATTCTCAACTCAAGCTTTATGTGTAAATAGGGGAGGTAAGCAACTGCTCCGCTATGAACAATTCTGTGTTATGGCACTTAAAATCAGTAACAACAAATTCCACTAGTTGAAATCATGTGTCAATTGAAGCTAGACGGTTTCTCACCAGAACTCCAGGAGTATCTTTTGAAGTCAGTCACTAGTGAGCAGATGATTATTATCAGAAGGGGTTTTGTGGAGATTTTAGAAATTTCCCCAGTTGGAGTGATGAATCACTTGAAGCTAGATCACCATAGAAAACCTGGAAGCATTGGACGGCCGTTTCGTCCTACAATGGGACTCCACGTTCTAGTTCGAGTCAGAAGCCGTTACCAGTGGAGTTCAACCGGGTCAGTTGTGACATATTAACTCATTGAAGACAATGGTGTATGGTGGTGCAACTTTGTGGATTGGTTGAAGTTAAACATTAACACCGTTGGATGCCGACTCAGTGGTCTAATGGTTCTGGTTTCGAATCTCGCGAGGAACGGGATCGTGGATGCGCACTGCTGAGGAGTCGCGTACTAGGATGAAACGGCCGTCCAGTGCTTCCAGGTTTTCCATGGTGGTCTAGCTTCAATTGACTCATAGTTTCAGCCAGTGACATTTCTAAGATCTCCCCAAAGCCCCTTCTGATAACAACAAATTCCTTTAGGGTTAGATGTAGAGAGTTTACACTTCATTACATGACTTATATAAATATTCATTAGTCATACAGATTGATTTGTTAGTTCATCAACATTTGTCCAAATTACCTCTACTCCAGCTACGATCACACATCGATGTGGGCGGTAGCTATGATTGTGCAGTATATATTCTGGATCAAATATTACGATTGTTATTGAAAGTAGGCTCGAAAGAGCATTTCTGAAGCTTGGGTGGTTATCATTTCTACAATCTATATTCTTTGAATGATTTCCTTCTTGCTTTTCGAACTCTCATGTCTACATATCGAATAATTTATGGTACTACACACATGTTCGGTCTTCAAAAATGGTATGATAAAATGTTGAGAATAGTTGGTGGATATAAGAAATTCAAACAGCGCTTCCAAACTCATGAAAAGAATCCTAAATTTCCGTAATATTTTTCCTAGAAACATTCCACGCTCATAAAAAATTCTATGAAAATATCATCTGGGGAGTGTACGTTTCCTCTGTACATACCGTATAACATCCAGTTTTGCCGAACACTTTACTTGGAATTGATATACATTTCATCATTTAGAATTTACAGTAAATTCGGGATCGTGAATGCGCATTGCTGAGGAGTCCCAGGCGAGGACAAAACGGTCGTCCGGTGCTTTCAGGCTTCCCATGGTGATCTAGCTTCAATTAACCTATGACCTCAATTGATAAGTTATTACATAATATCCACAGAACCCCCTTCCTGATAATTTACTGTAAATCAAATGTATCAAAAGATATCTAGTTATACATTGTAGTGCCACTTATGCATATGTATCAGTCAGTCATATACACTGTAGAGCCTGACACAAGTGTACATCGGTCCAAGTCACCACATCCCATTAGAAAATAGTAAGATGAAATCGTTAGGGCGAATTCCAGAGTAATAGTGGTAGTAACAGTATTGGTGATAGTACAAAAGATTAAGAAACGATGATAATTTGACTAGAAATCTTGAACTAATGGAATAAAAAACTTATATCTTAGGTTTGAAACTTAGGATCTAACGTAAAATACAATAGTCCGAGTAAGGTGCCTTTCTCGTTGAAGATTTGAACGAGATGGGAATTTGGACGGCCTTAGTCTGTTTTGGGATACATCGAACGGAGTTGGTTGTGTAGTTAAACCACACAGATGCAGTGAGTGAAAGTTAATATAAATGAAACAACAATTTACCAAAGTATCATACATTAAGACAGAATTGAAGATACTTGAAAAGCAAGCTTACTTCTCTGAAGCATTGAACATCATTTGATTTTGTAAATAATCAGACAATAAATTTCCCCTTTTACCATGTTGACTTTGAAGTTTGGATTCAGTGAGTGCAAGAATTTCCGCTGGTTCTAATGTTGAAATTGTTCGTTCATGTACTCTTAACGGGTCGAAACTAATCACATTGCGCATGATAAATGATTTCTGATCCTCAGATAAACTGACCAGTTGGCCCAAATGAACGAGTATACCATTTTTATGCGTTACAACTCGAATAAATGGACATGAATTCTTTCCTTGACTGTCGTTCATTGAATTTCCTCTGTTTGAACTGAATATACTGGAAGCCATTTGTGATATAATCACACATCGTGATGACAGTCCTGTATAACCTGAGATAAGTGACGTATTTGTTGAATCTTCAGTCTGAGTAGCTTTATTCTCTTTGGGTAGTGAATGAATTGGTAGTTTCAGAGCGTATAAAGCCAGGATCATTTTAAGGATTTCTTGTGACGGATTCATACCAATCAGAAGAGAATTCAGTGACTGTTCATCCATCATGGTGATTTGGTGCTGTTGGTTTCTAGTATTTATCATGTTATTGGTTGTTTTTTGGATAATCTGTGTCTCTTCAATGGATGCTGTAGAGATTTTATTCATCTATCAGAAGAAAAAGAAGAGTTATGCACATGCCAAATGAATATAATCACTGATTTTGACAAAGTAGATTAACAACAATTTGCAAGAGAATTGATTTCTTTATGAGATTGGCCAATTATTCACTGTAACTAACATTATTCATTAGCACAAATCACTTATGACAACTATGCTGGTACTAACGAGTGACCGTGCGAAGTACTTCTGCAAGGCACAGCTGCAATAATGAAGTGAAATAAGTATTGTTTGAGGTATTCCGAACGAGATTATCCAATGTCATAACCTTAGGGAAACTGTCAAGTAATTATTTAAGCCTAGATAGATCTATTGCGGATTAGAGTTACTCAAATATATTGATCGAAATTTATGGGTAAAGAGGCGGGATTGTATAAGTGGGGTAAATATATCTGTATACATAGTAATAAGTCATTCATACAATTCAAAATGAAAACTATATTCAAACAGAGCTTATAAACTAAGTACCATGATCGCATTCGTATTCAACATGAGGGCAAAAGTATTGAAAATAAGTATTTGCGAAATTCCAATCGGAAAGTCAAGAATCTTAATAATGTGTACCGAGTATTCGTTATTGATTGACCTTAACTTGGCTACCACCATAAATCAGGATACACTAGACGGTCATATCTTCTCAGAATGAGAATTCTAACCAGTTTACTATCCATGACCCCACCAGAGATTGAGCCTGAATTTTTCAAGTCGTTCAGCGAACGTGAAGCTGTTAGTAAGCACTGCTAAGCAATATTTCATCTAATACTCTATTTTGAAGCCCTTGAATCATGCCATCATGTCACCTCATAAATTCAATTAATAAATACGATGATAACAGTATACAATCATGAAAATAAGCAAATTACTCACTTTGATTGTTCTAATTTTTGAGTAGAACAGATACACCGAAACACTAGAACAACAGAAGTTGTATAACTTTTACTGATAACACAAACTAAATGTCAATGTATTCATACAACTATGATGCAACAACTCAGTGAATAGGACTCATTTATAAGATTTGATCTTTGACCTCCCCCCCCCACCCACGAGTTGAAGTAATCAATAATTTGATTGACAAAAATGTATCCAAGTAAATATCAATCAAGTGAATATAATTTATTCATGATCACATTGAATTGAATCAATCTGAATGGAATAGTTATTTTGAGAGAAAAAGAAATAAACAAGTTACTTAAATAGTTGAATACATGAGTCGATTAAAGAGACAGACCACCATGGTAAACCTGGAAACATTGAACGGCCGTTTCGTCCTAGTAACGGTCTTCAATATGTATTTCGTGGAGTTCTGGTGAGAAGCCGTGACCAGTGTAGTTCAATCGGGTCTACTGTATGATGGTGTGGTGTGGGTTACTTATGCCTACTTAAGTAGTATATAATGGTGGTCAAGCATAGAATGTATTTCAGTAGAAGATCTTGAATGAAAGTACGGGAACGGGATGCAATTGGTATGAAAATGCCAGAACAATGAAATCAGAGACGACTGACTGGTATTGACAGCAGAAACAGTCAAGATTGAGACATTTGATTGATATATTGCAAATTAACGGATTACTGTATGGTTGTTAGATTTTAGTGAGATATTCTATAATAGTGTTTCCAACTTCATAAAATTGCTCCATTCGTGTTCTTGTCCACTACGATAGTAGCTCACTGAAAACAATGGTGGGCGGTGGCATATTCTCGTCGATTGGTTGGAGTTAGACATCAACAAACAAGTTATTATTGTCATCACAAAACTTTAAGTACTTTAAGTTGAATAATTTCCGTAGAAACGTCCGTAGCACAGGAAGACTGTTTCATCCTATTGTATGACTCCTAGAAACCGAATATACACGGCTTCGTACTCGGCAAACTCACCAAGAACCTCAGGTCTTGCACATGAATTCTCAACCTCTAGACCACTGAGCTGGAATCTAACAGTGTTAATGTTTGTGTTGAATTAATCCACAACAATGCGCAACCATGTTTCATTGTCTTTGGTAGGTGACTGTTTCACACTCTACTCGGATTGTATAAAAAATGTTTTCCTAAAGTTAAATAACAATATTCTTGTGTGTAAATCACCGAATAATTACTGAAGACCATCTCAAAGCATCATATCGCTTAAATAGCCCTGTCCGATTCACTAAGTTTCCTACATATATAAGTGTTAACAAAAAGGTACCGAAAAGCTAACTGAAGTTGGATACAAGAACAAATGAATAATAGATCAGTGGAGTTTAATAACTTCACAATGGTGGATTTGACCCCCAGAAAGGTCGTGTGTACGCGTTACTGAGTAATAGCGTGTTAGATATGAAATAGCTCTACAGTACTCACTCATTCATATGATGTTTAGCTGAAGAAAGTTTGTAATGGTAAATATTTTTAGACAGAACTCAGGAGGATCTATTCGATAGTTGAATTTACATTTGTATATGTTACTTGTCGCTCCATCACTTTCATCATTATCTAATCAAGTTCACAGTAGTTCATTTTTTAAATGTTCATAGTCCAACAAACTCAGTTACCGAAAACTGGTTGTTTCATCCAAGTATGAGATCCTTTAGCAATAGGCGCTCAAGATACATTACAGCTAAGGAACCTGAGATATCCGGATATCCTGGGAATTACAATATCTCCGAATCACTGGGTCGTATTCTACTACCTACATTATACCCAATCATAAACGTTCCCTCATACCAACAGACGCGTATTCACTGCCGACTAATTTCCATAAGAATCTTAGAGATATTTTAGCGAGTTGTCGGAAGTGAAACAAATTACTTCTTATGACGGTGAACGATGGTTGTTCTGTCTATCACACTGACCGAAAATTATCGGTGTGAATCATAAACAATGTGACCACTACGCAAAATAAAGGTATTGGGTTCGATCCAATGTTCTATCACTGTGATACAATTTTGAATAGCACTAAACTTGGACGAAACTACTGTACAATGCTTCTTAATTTTCGGTTGTTTGTAATTGTCATTTTGAAACAAAAAATACACTATTTTCCGATACACAGATCAGTGGTTAAGTAAAGATGGATAATAGTTAGGAGCGGAATCCAAGATGCGAGTTTAATACACTTTGGGATTCGTCAGTTGGATCTACCTCTATCCTGGTGTTGGTGTTCACGTCGGGACTGGAATTTATTAAGATGGTGGAGAGGATTTGTAGCTCAGGTGGATGATGTTGATGGAGTTTTGTTCTCTGAGCTGGATGGTTTGGTCATAGAGCTTTCATCGTTCATCATCAGCACAAACTTCCGATAGAAGTGAAGCGTTCGAATCTCTCCATATGTGGTTCAAAGCTTATCCTGTACACCTCGATGTTGATTGGTTTTTATTGACTTTAAATTCGTCATTGTTTACTTCCTTGTTTTGGTTGTGTCTCCGATTGGTTTGATTTTTGTTCCTATGTTTGTGAGGAAATGTCCTCACTTATATCAATACACGTGGACAAGTGCTGACACTTATTTCACTGGAAAAATGTGGAAATCTTGGATAGAAGAAATTCCAAAAACATCAGAGAATTTTTATGAGCTTGGCAGTCAGGTCAATCAACAATCAACAAGCACATTGAAATCGACCTAAATAATCAACCAATCAGGAAGATTATACACAAATATAGGAACAAAAGTCAAACCGACGGATCATACAACGAAAACAACGAAGTAAACAATGTTCAAATTTAAGGTCAACAAAAAACACTCAATATCGAGGTGTAGAGGACTAGCTGTGAACCACATATGGAGAGATTCAAACGCTTCACTTCTATCGGAAGTTTGTGCTGATGATGTCGTTCAGAAGAACTATGAAAGTTACACGACCAAACTATCCAGCTCAGAGAACAAAACTCAATCAAAATCGAATTTAATAATTTTTGTTTCAAGAGCTTAGTCCATTATCTCCAGGGCGTTTGAAGCTAATACTAATAGTTTTGAATTCCAGGGTGGGAATCAACACTAGAATGGAGGTACATGCTGTTGTGACTTGAACTTGGATCGATTTTTACCCCGTGCCAATTGTTGTGTCTTTGACTGAAAGATTAGAGATCAGTGTCTTATCGACCGGATCAAAAACGCGTAAAACCCGTAAGAACGGCCTAGAGTTTTGGTTGGCCCTGTTTTCCTGTCTAGCCCAGCCAGTTGAGTCCAGAACGCAAGTTTCAGCCTCTGAGATATGAATCACTGCATTTCAGACACACTCTGTTTATATACCAACCAACTCGACCACAACGTACCAATAAAATAGAAAATAACATTTGTACAATAATTAGCCAGAAGTGGCCGTGAATGAGGGAAAACTAACGTTAAGCATCCAGTAGAATAGAAGAATAAACTGTGAAATCAGTTATGTAATACAGAATATTGATCGAGAGAACAAATGAAGAATTCATCTAAAGTAATTAACTATTCAGAGTAATTACATAAATGTTAGGAGCAAAATGTAAGTTGGATTCTCATCAACGTTCATTTGACTCAACTTAAGTTTATCGAAGTAACAATGAAGATCATACATAAAGTTTCTGTTGTCTGTATATGACAGTGTTTTTCTTTTAAACAACAATATTCACATAGTCACTTTATAAACTACTTCCAAATTCAGAAAGATACTGACTTCTATGAAAATTCTGTATTTGATTTTGATGCATAATATTCGGAGATGTGTTGTATGCTACTAATGTATGTCGATATAAGTAGTATGTAACACTAGTCGGAAGTGGAATGTTTACGAACCGAAGGTTGAGAGGATTAAAGTGAATAGAAGACAGAAGAAAACCGAAAGTAATCAAGATAACAATACGAGTGAAGGAATAATGAAGCTTGTAAGAGACGATTCAAAGAAGATGTGCAAATGATGTACTTTGCATTAAACAATCAATCGGTCCTCCCCATTTCACTTCTTTGCTCGTTACGATATCACTGAGATATAATCAATACATTTTAATCACTAAGGAATTTTTAATATAAATGAATGAAGAATATACTTTTCAATAAATTCTCTTCAGTATCTACAATCATCTTTGCCAAATGGATCATCCAAAATATGGTCAGATTTAAAACAAAATGCATCGTTTATAAATGACAGTATGTGAATTGAGGATTGTTTGTGATAGAAAATAAAACGGAAACTTTGTTACGAGGATGACGAAGATGAAGTGTTGACTTTACAGTAATGCAACGTGTTATCAGCAATCTGTCTATATCCATCAGACTAGGAATACTTTAGAAGAAGAAGAAGTATGTTTGACCAAATTCTGGGTTGATTGGTGAATGATCATTAGGTATGTGATACGGTGACACAATTTGATTAATGCTCGTACAATCCTCCATGGATGATTCATTTGAATAAGATGATTGTAGAAACTGAAGAACATTTATTGAAAAGCATATATTTCATTCATATATCTGTATCCTAAGTAATAAAGACTGAATGTATTACACTTTCATATAAGAGTTTAATGTATGCTGATTATTCACTAAGTAGTATCTGATATCATATTGCTCTAGACCTTAATGATGTTGATAGAATTATATTGATCAAATGACAATATCTATACAACGATCAAATAATCATAATAATGAATATTCGTTGTCTCATATTTCAAACGGTTTAGAATCATCAGTATAGGGTTGTAGAAATCGTTGACTTTTTAAATGAGATCACGAATCAATGAATGTTAAACAATCACTGAAAACCTGGAACCTCTAGACTCTCATTTCATCATATTATAAAACTCCTTAGCAGTGTACATCCACGATCTCTCACGTAGGACTCGAACTTAAGATCTTCGGTTCCACACAAATATGCTTAACCCCTAGACCAATAAATTGAATCTGTCGGTGTTAATTAGATTCAAAAGTCGACAAAATACATTCCAGTCTGATCACTTTGTCCTTCTTTTCAACCTTCTCCTACACCGATCATCAATCCCCATAACCACAATTAAAACAAAACAAAAAGATCAATCCATTTGAATATATCAATGTGTAATGGTGATTATTTTTTTGTTTTAAAACACAATTTCATGTAAAAAGAAAAGAGACGATTTTTGTCTTAAATATAAATGATCCATGTGAATAAACACTTTGAGATTATAAATCATTGTGGTTAATTAGATTAATTCGCTTTAACTGGTGGAATTTCGTCGAGATTATTCCAGTTTGTATTCAATATTGACGTGAACTGTTCATTCTACAATTAGAAATATAGAAATATAAGGGTATAAGAATATTAATTATTACCAGAATGAGGATTTGTGGAGAGTGTAGTAATTTTAATAGTTGAATTCATGAATCGATCTAAACGAAACCACCATTGAAGCATTGGACGGCCCTTTTATTCTAGTATTAGATTCCTCAGCAGTGCGAATCAACGATCCATTAAGGGAGAGTTCAACGCAGAACCTTCCTTATCGCACTTGACCTCTAGATCATTGAGCCAGCCTACAACACTGTTGATGTATAACTTTCGTCAATACATGACATTACGCAACTCTTCCTCCATAGTTTGAGGTGGATAATTGTCTTCACCTGACACGAATTGAACTCCAATGGTCTTGGCTTCTTACTAGAACTCCATGAAATCCTTCTTGAAGTTAGTTACTAGTGCGCAACACCATGCATTCAAGTATTAAAATATTAATTATGTAAAATAATATTAATCAGCTTTAAAATTCATAAATAAAATGTTTAAATGATGAAAGGTAATCAGCTGGAAGCATTTCATGGTTTCGTGTTCATTAACACTCATTAGAAAGATGAATCTCTAATCTTAAGGAAGTCAGATATGGCATTCGAAGCCATGCTATTCACTGTCACAAACTGAAATGTTAAACCGAGCTATTCAGTCACAGTTTAACATGGAATATATCATTCTGATGGTTCAAGAGCTTACGTCATAACAGAACTGTACACATGGAATGTTTCAGTCTTCTAGGAGATTAGTTGTATTCTAAAGCGCTCAGTATTAACATCATTTACTTCATGACGAAGTGATGAGACATGTAACATTTTAAGCAATAGAGAAGGATCGATTGTTTCAGAATTGGTGATGAGTTCCAACATAATTAATGTCTGGAGTTTACTGGCAATCGACTTCGACTGTATAACGTCGAAATGAATTTTACGTTAGACATACATAATGACTGTTACAATTAACAAACATGTGACCACAAGTTACAATAACTTGGAACTGATCTTTCTATGAATAGTTACTCAATTGAATACTAGACTGTTGATAACTCCTATTTCTTTCTATTTCGAGACAATTTTATAATATATCTAAATTACAAGCAAAAGTAATTTTATCAATAACAGACTTCACTACAGTGGTGTGGCTAATTCTTTGGACTTCATTGTCCAGACTTTGGTCTTATCATGCTTCATCATCAGAAAAAGGAGAATCTTGAACATCTACTACTCTAACCAAATCAGTCCAACTAGCTCGTCACATGAGATAACAATGATCAATTCATCAAACTACCTACTGCCATTGGATCACTTGATTTCCTATAGTTGTGATGATCTGAAATGTTATAGCATGAACTGATACACATTTATGGTGGGATCAGGTCCTGGACCCACAGGTTACACTATGAATTCAGCCTTGTTGATCAAGTGAGTCTATCGTCTGATTGCATGTGCATTATAAAGTTGTTAGTGTACTGCTATCCACAACCAGTTATGTTTTGATTTCATAAAGGTATTTGAATTGACGATTAAGTATCATGATAGACGTTTGAAAAACGTTCACAGGGAGAATATGTGTAACCCATTTATTTAACAGGAAAAATGCTGTGATTCGACCGGTGGTAAGGAATGTCCTCTCTCCCGCACGAAATGTTCTTTTGTGGACACGTGTTTACAACCACTGTCAGGGGACTCCTACTCACTGCCTTTTCGAAGCAACAGTGTTGTCTTTTTGCTACCGTATATTTTGTAATTTCATTCGTTTGGAATATCATCTACGCTTTTCCTGTCTTCATTCTGTATTAGTTCAAGTCTAGTGAAATGCAATGGCTAAAGGAATACTAAACAAGTGTGGATGTAACACTCATTTCCTAAGTAGATATTTATGTAGTCAGCTTTGTGCAACACTGTGTTCATCTGTGAGAACTATTTACACTAAGCGTCAGTTCAATCAAGATACAAGAAAACGTACATAAGTCAGTAAAAACGACTTACCGTTAACTGACCAATTTTTAAATGTTCCCCATCAGATATTGTCACTCCAGCCACTAAATCAACCAGATCAATGGTATTTGGTAAATTGATACATGCATTCTTAATTTTTTGTAGACGTATTACATCAGGTGTAACTGTGGCACCAGTTAAATCTAAACTACGATTTCTTGTTCTCACTTTATTTGAAAACTATATTTAGAAAGAATCCATGAATAAGTTAATGTAACCAATTAAGTAAGTTAAACACTAACGACAAAATGAGAAACCTTTAGGCATTCACACACTCTGCATTTCTTATTTAAAAATATGGTTCCTGAGTTATGATAAATGAAGTAGAACGGTGACCTGAATATCTTACTGGTAGCATCTTAGATCTTGAAACTGATTGATACAAGTTTGGATCCTACACGAGATACTAGTTCCATTAAGAATGAAACTACCCTCTCTATTCATACTAACAAGTGATAGCCTCCAACGATTAACTACCGACTACCTCCAACCAGTTAACATGCCGTTATTACTGTTATTTCAACTACTTTCATTTATATCTTGTCAGTTTACTCTTAGTGCGTTTATCATTGAGGTGTGACAAAACAAACATATTTGTGTCGGATCCTAGTTTCATCATCACTGATTGACTAAACCAGCACATGCAGTATGTGTAGATTAAATACGGACAATCAATCTAAACTAAATTTGTATTAGTCAAACGTAAGTTTAGTTCTTTCCAGAATTAGTGAGTCGTTAGAAATGCAGGAAAACATGATTGATTGGTGAAAAGATTTCAGTCGAATATTAGGCCGATTGTGGTTCAAACAGATCAATAATAATTTCCTTAACTGTGATATTAGTCAACGTGGATACAAGTCACATTTGGAGAACCACGTTTCACCAGTTCATATTCACCTTACTGATAACATTGTTTTCTATTTCCATGTTCGAATTGAAATGAACTGAAGAGAAGACGAGGTGAAATAATGTTAATGTCGCCGTTCAGAGGAAACTCTAAATGAATGGCACATTTGACAGAAATTAATGCGATCAAAGATCGAGAATTATAGGATAAAACCCGACTTGTGATTCAGATGAAACCTTAGAAATAATTACGACTGCTCCATTATCGATCGTCTGAAGTCAGATCGCTCAATGTTTATAAAAAAATATCATCTTACTTAAAGGAACAATCATCAACGTCATAAATTATCATAGTTTCCCGGCTTCATCAATCCTACTATTATTTAGATTTGTGTGAATCATAACTCAGACATCTCAATTACCACAGGTCTATAGTTTCACCAACCATGTAACTATTCCTACATAGAATCTGACTGTGAATCTTATGATTGCTCACATGATATTTCTACCACATCGAAGTATTGTTACAGAGAAGTCTGCTATCAAACGTTCTCAACTGAAACTGATATTTCACCTTCATAAGCCAATTTTTTGTAAAAGAAGAAAAAGCTATATAGAGTCCAAACATTTCTTCATCCTTCAGGATATCAGTTGTTTCCCGGTGAGTTTTACGTTTACATTTCGGGTTGGTATGTATTCATGTCCAACTGTCAGGACTGTCTTTGTCAAGAGTACAGGCTAGTGTTATTGACAAGTCCCAGTTAGCATCAAGCCTCGGAGGTCAAGTCGATCACCACTAACATTAATTCTATTAGAACACAATATCGGATAGAAAGAAAATACATACAGGAAAGACAAGACTTACATTCGATATGGACGATCTGGCTGTTCTTAATTTACTATTCATTTTTATGCCAAACTGATTGTTAGTTGTACTGTTACAGTATGACTCTGATACGAAACGCCATTGAATTGGAATTTTATTTCCCAAAATATTATTATCACTTTCATTTGAATGTGAATCAGTCGTGAATGATTCATCTTGCCTCTTGTTGGCTGGATATAATTTAGGTACACTGAGTAGATTTCCTTCATCGTCGAAAACTAGTTTTCCAGATCCATTCATTCGTTTGTTTTGTAGCTAAATATAATTTTAGAAAATGCTCCAATTCAGCCTGTGACAGTATTTCACTAGTTCTGTTTAACTACTATCAAATAAAAAAGTAGTTTGCGCTTTTATCTTAAAATTATGAATGATCGCATTCTTCGTCTTTTACAACTGGACTGAACTGAAATATCAAAGTTAGTTTTCTTTATCGTGTAATCTGATGTAGCATATCCAAAATTTGCTGATACTACGAGACAGAACGAATGATAATAGGACATGGCCAATACAATGTTCGAAATGGTGAAATTAAATGTTCAAATTTTAAAGCACGTAGAAAAAAAGACAAGACCGACCACAGTTAGACAGCCATTGTGAACCTGGAATCACTAGGCAATCGGTTTTCTTTAGTGTGAGCCTTATCATCAACGGTTATCTATGACCCATAAAAAGGAGTCCAGTCAGAAATCAAACAAAGCTTTCTGTTGTCTGCCATCACACATCTAACAATAAACAAAACTGACAGGATATTTTAGTATATACACTCAACAATGACCATAATTACCATAGTTTCAGGCAGTGCTTTCATGAGTGGTTTCATTGGTTTCTTTGTAGTTAGACTATATTCTTTACTGGTATTGTCGTTTTTAACTGATATATTCTTTTGAAGAAATTGAAAAAAAAATTAGAAAATTATCTCACTTCCATTGATACATTTTCTATAGATGATTTCAATGTAGAATCTTTCAACTGTTTAGTTAGTTGAGGGATGGAATCTCCTTGATCGGTAGGCATACGGGTGTGATCTATAATTGAAAAGAAAGTTTATTAGATGCCAATATCATTAAAAAGCGAAATAACTATACGATTTATTTTGTTGCTTTATTACATTTAGAATATGGCTAGGAGCGATGTTACGAACATGAGTTTCATCCTATTTGAAACTTGTCAATTGGATATGCCTGCATCATATTGTTGATATTTACAGTGGGACTAGAACCTCGTATTAGAACCCGGTTATTAATACAAAGTCATTTTCCATCAAGCTACCAAGGGCATATAGCAGGTAACTTCTTTAAAAGGTATGAAGTCATTTGACAAGGTTTGTGATTCCCGGTTGTTGATATCCAGGACTCGAATCGATATGCCCCAGATGCCATGTGTGCACCCCGAGTAGATTGCCTTGATATGACATTCACTGATAAGGACGATATGTGAATCCTTGATTTCACCTCTATCTGTATGCCAGGTATAATGACTATCTAGTCAAGATGCAAATGTGCCAACATAAACTGGTCGACTAGAGATCTCAGTAGTGGCAACGAAAAATTATATTGACAAGTGACTCATTTTACGATGGTAGATGATGCTATTGCAAATAACAACATTAAGAATGAGCTTATATAAATCATTGAATTAAAACCGTGTTATGTTACAGATCAACAGAAGCTCAAGGTGAATGCCCTAAAGCTATCATGGTAGTTGTGAAGTGCAATAGTACTGAGTGCAATCTTCGGCATGGTCATTGGTGCTCATATCCTCAAGCTCTGATAATACATCTTGATTCTGAACGGTTCTCAATTCACTTATTAACAACAATCATCCCAAAAACGTTAATGCTCTTCACAATAAAGTAGACTCAATAACAATGTATATATATTGAAACTAAAGACTCTATCAATACTATCTGACACAAATAAACGAAAGTATATCACATCTTGCCATAAGAATGAACAAGGAGAACTGTAAATTTCGAACTTTCAAAGAATTTTATTGTTTTAAGAACATGTAATGAGTATTCCAAGCAAGAAAGTAGAACATTTAATTATCAGCATCTTCCAGCTTTCAGTACTAGTGTACAGTTTTCATTGAAACAAGCAATACTGACCCACACATTTTCGTTTAGGATGGACTTAAATAACAAGTGACCTGATATCAGGTAAACTTGCTTCATTCTAATACTATGTGAAAAATATGTTTATCAGTCCACCTTGTTTTCCAATGAATATTTTCAAATTTAAGTAACCTGAATAACTAGGGATTCAGTGGTGTGTTAACCGTTCAATAAATACTGACTAAGTGTAAAATGAATTTTGAAAGCTCCAACGAAGTGATGCAACAGATAGGACGAAGTATTTAATCATAACACCAGTGATCTCTGATTTTCAGCGATTGTTTTGTTGCATGAATATTATTAGATGTTTAAGGAATTTGTTTACCTTTTTTAAAATCGTTTTTCAGTTTTTGAGGCTTCTTCTGTCGTATAGATATTTGGTGGAGATTTTCACTATGGGACATGCCAACAGTATGTTCCTTACGGATAGCTTTATTTTCACCAACATCTTCATTTCTGAAATAATAAAATAAAATATATAAATTGGAACGTTTTTAACCTTGAGTTTGTTTGTTTAAATTATACAAATGATTCTTTTTGAACATTAAAAGATCTAACGAACCTGGGATCATTTCTATATGACATCACAAATTCAACAGTATTAAGGAGTTCTAAGTAGTAACAAAGTATTTATCTGGTTTCGAGTCTCAACAGTATTATTGAAATCACTAATATTTTGCAACAAATGAAAGTAAGGGATCACTGGTTACTGTTTGACTTTGCTCTTCATCCAGAGATAGATAATTTAAAGTCGTGCTACTTTAGCCGAATAATCTGCCAATGTTTTGATTACATTATGCAGGTTTATTTATATTCTCACATGACTCTCTTCTGAAATCTATTCGTTTCGAACTTTCATTTTAGGCCTAAAAGTCTATGAATAATTCAATTATTCACTCACTTTATCATTCTATCTAATCGACTGATTTGTTAAAGAAAAAATTAAACATGATGAATAATAGGATCAGTCAGTCAGCTTGCGACAACGTAGAACTTTCTACGTACGTACGCTTCCACAACTGTATAGTTTAACTGTAAAACTGCATTACTGTCGTGGGTAACATCATTAGCGTCATCCTCAACTCGACAAGAATATTAGTATTTTCGTCTTTAAGGACGATCTGATTAGTCTTCTAAGTGAACGCCTGAATCAGCTAAGCTCTTCTAACAACTCCAGGCAAAACCTACACGACAACTTCAACATGATAGAAAAATTGCGATGTAGCAAGAAGGTTTTGATCCAAGGCTATTTTATGTGAAAAACTCTAGAGTACTTGTAGTATTTCAGAAGGCATAAATGCATGTTACGTTTTTGTACACCTACTAACTGACTCATAATCACATGCTAACACTTCCATTTTATTCGCATCTTTACGATACGCACGTCCCTTTTTATATAAGCATAACACTTTCAAATAATATACTCACCCCTCACGGGACACTATACTTTATCGGATATAGTACTTTTCCGCTGAGTATTGATAACGTTAACCATACATCATTTCAGTGTTATTTTGAAATCAAACATTTAATTTAAACAATGTGCTGTTTTCTATAAGGAGCTATTTAGTGTCGGTCGCCATGTTTAGCCCATAAAGCTCTAGAAAAAGCTATTTTGTTTATCTTTCTTAAGTCATATTATAACCATGCGTGTGTGCATTTCTTAGCTTACTCATCACATGTCTGTGGCTCTGACTATAAATACTGGTAAAATCGAGTTGGCATACTCGCCTACTTCATTGCACGTCATTTTGTTTTGCCTCGCTATCCGATCAACAACCGTATCATTGGATCCCAGCTCAGTGGTCTAGAGGTTAAGCGTTCGCGTGCGATAGTGATAGGTCTTGAGTTAAATTCTCACGGGCATGACCGTGGATGCGCATTGCTGGGGAGTCCCGTGTCAGGACGAAACGGCCGTGCAGTGCATCCAGGTTTACCATGGTGGTCTAGCTTTAAATGACTCACGAGTTCAACTATCATACTATGCGTATTAAAAACTACTACAGTAGCATCATGTTTATGACCAAAAATACGTTCGTCAAATGAAACACGGAAGCACTTACCTGTGGATAAGACTATTTTGAAGCCTTTGTAAAACCTGATGATTATTTTGGGGTTGTAGATTGTCTGAAATCTTTGCATAAGAAGTCTTGGAAATCGCTCCTTGAGCCCATGAATCTATTCTACTTGATTCAGCAACTAACAAACATAGTCCGTTTATAAAAACCAGCACGTACGTTCATCTTCGAACCACTCTGGATTAAGATTAATATAAGGCTCTCCTTGATCGCAGGACATGAATTCCAACTACGCATTTTAATATACAAAATTGTATGGCGCTATTTACGTCAATGTATTGCATGAGGCACAGAGATGCTTGATGAACTGTAAAAGGTATTAATTGATCCTTTAAATATATCTGGAATATAGCACTGATTGTTTCATCAACTATATCTTTGGTGATATCAAAACATGTCTTTTCAGCAAAATCATCTTCAATCAACTCATTCCTGAACAGATAACGAATAATTTCATGCTAACCATTCTGATTCTGAAGCTTTTCCAGGGATCACGTCTTGAACGATGAAAGATGAATTGATGTTCTTTCCCTTTTCTACCTTGTTTCGACTTGTGGATTTCGACATGCAATTTGAATTTTCATCATTCTGTTTATATGGTGCTTATTAGAAGATTGTAAATTAAAACACATCCACTATAAAATATTTTGAAAGGCTGTCTGCTATCGACTGATTTATTTATTTGAAGTCATTTCTTGTTAAATAAGTACGTTTCATGTCTTTACCAAAGTGCAGTGGAAGGTAGTTTAACCACTCAACTGCATTAATTCTACACATTTTTGTAGTTATTCGTGGGTTTGTTTATTTTGAAATTTGAGCGAATACGTTTTTATCAAATCATTGTGGTTTCTGGAACCAACAATCATTAAATTATCGGGTGCAAAGTGAGTTAGTGTCACCGTGAAATAAAATACTAGGAGCTGACGGTTATTACTGTGATTGACTAAGTAAACTAGTTATTTAATTGTGATCCAGGCCGTGTGAGCAAGCCGAATTGTGAGAGAAAATTCAAAGTAGTGTAAAAATTAGATAAATAGGAATGAGTTACTGACTTGTGTTAACTATTGTAATGTGTAAGTTACAAGACATGTATCGAGCACAGCCATTCCAAGCGGTTCAAGGTAAACGATGAATCAGTATGTGTTTATCAAGTCGCTTCTTGAGGCAATCCACTGGGGAAGCTGTAATAATCTCAACTGGGAGAGCATTCTGAATGGGAGGGACTGCAAATGAGAAGTAAGTGTGAGAATACCACGATTTTCGCCCTTTGATGTAAACTTTTTTGGGTTTTAGCTTAAGCGTTGTTGTGTTGATGTTCTATTAAAACGTTGATGACTTGAAGTATATGACATGTGTGCGTCATTATTAAATAATATTTTATTCTCTTGTAGCTTGGCGAAAATGACACCAAATATCGACATCTGTCTCCGTAGGTTTAATTTATTGATTCTAACATTCACTTAATCACTCATATTGGTACTGAATATAAGAGACTGATATCTCTTTTGTACAGACTGGGTTCATCAACGTTTGGGAGATCGAGATGAGACTGTTATTACGTTTTGTATATTATAAGAACAAATTCTGATGTGACTGTGCCAAGTTGTTTTCGCATAAAGTGAAGAGGTATATCTAATTTGGCTGCATCACCAATCTAGTTTAAACCAGTTTACCAGGCCTCTGCGAATTCTAGTCTTAAAAGACGCTCTGAGGAAATATTTAGGAATGGATTTTCAAAGATAACGTAGATCGTTTATTTTTTATTGAGTTGACGAAATTCTGGTAGATGCCCCAATACATTGTCTACTGCACGTTTCCTCATTGCTTTGATGCCTTTTTAAGAACTAAGTGAGTCATTTTCGCTTCTTATGAAACTTTACCTTCCGGCATCGAGGGTCAGTGAGCTCATTCCGGCCAAGAGGTTATTAGTGCGAATCAGTGAGAGGGATAGGATTCAAATGGTTCCTTATGTGTCTGCTGATGTTGAGACATTGCAGCTCGCGAGGACTCTAGGAATATCTCATTCAATGCAGAATACTAGTTCAATAGTTGTAAATGGAAGAAGTACGTCTTTTTATCGGATTTGCAGATAATTGATAACTCTGGAAATAAAACCATGTGCAACGTGTGGAAATGGAAGCGCGAAATAAAACCAGCACTAACAAATCACTTTCGCCATTATCAACATTTTGTGATACCGAAATACTTCCAGACGACATTCTGTGGGATCGCAATGAAGTCACCGGGTGACAAGGAGTCCTTACTTCTCACTATACAAAGAAAGTTATTATTGCTTCAACACATGAATCTCCGCACCCTTGAATGCAACGTTCACTTGTATCTGAGAAATTATGGTTTCTCAAATTACAGGACTGAGTACGATAAAACATTTAGGGTCATCACAGCAAAGTTGAAAATCCTGGCTATTGCGAACGACATATATCGAGAAATGATTCACTGACGTAATTAAATTGAAGGATACTAAAAGTCTATAAAAGTTAATATGTTGTGCATAGCAAAACACAATTCGCACAGAAATAATATAGGTATGGCACCAATAAAATTCCGCCTGTAGCTCTTCTGCGGTTATTGCACGACTAAAACCCGTGCAAAGATGGAGCGTTGGGTATGGTGTCGAGATCCCCATCCCATAGACAACAATTTTGCTAAGCTAGCATTAACCACAGTAAATAAATTCGATCATTCAAACTCTGTCCAGTGAATTTAAGAACAATTGTAACGATCAAAATGCCAATGTTCTTTTTGAACGTAGGAGTGACGAATCAAAATTTATTCGATTAGATCACACGGAAGTGAGTAGATACAACTTCGCGTTTTCGTAATCAGAGAAACCAATTAGACACCGGCTGAACGGAAAAGAATGGATTCAAAAGAGCTGCTGGTGCACCCCTGCTCCGAGAAAGAAAATGCTCCACACACGATGAGTTGATTCGGTGCTTTCCAAGGAGTCAGAAAAAACGCTTATAAGATGGGAATCTAATGGGAACAGAGTCATCAAACCATTCTTCAAAACAAAGAATGAATGAATTGTAGTGAATGTTATCTTATGTTTTGTAGTCAGCGATAATAGCAGTGGCGACAATAAGGATCAATTCTACGAGAGTTCGCAATCGGTCATAACGAAATTCTAAGGAATGGACCTGATCATCTCGTTGGGGAACCTGAACGTCAAAGTCGAAATGAGCAATACCTGATCTGGAAATATCGTAAGACGACATGAACTAGTAGAAGCAAGCGAGAATGGTGATAGATTCGCAAATCTATGTACATTCAACTAAATGGTTATAGGCGACACGATATTCCCACACAAACACATACACAAAGCTACATGAGTCTCATCGGACCACGCTACGGAGTACAAGATAAATCATATTTGCATCAGTAAAAGGTTCGCGAGGTCGATGAAAAACGTGAAAACCAAGAAAGGGTTTGACAAAGCTTCAGATCAACACCTGATAGTTGTCGAGTTTATATATTTTAGTGAGCTAGAAAAAGTGAGCCTTAATGAAAATCTGAGCTGGACGAAAAGTTTTCTGCTGGTGAGTTGATCACGTAAATGTTTTAGTAGTCAGATGACGGATTAGTGAACGGCTCATTATTGCTTAATTTTCAAGCGCTTTATCTGAATATAACAGCCGGGAAATTTCTAGAAAAACAGTAAACTAAATTTTCTAGAAATAAAAGCGAAGGCAACAAAAAGATAACAGAATCAGTGTGAAAATCAGTACAAAGGTAAATCCATGGAGAATTGATTTTTGATTATATCGAAGCTCGACATTCAAAACTTATTGGAAAAAAAGTACAAGAACTCAGTCACCTGAAGACTTATTCCGATAGTCATCAGAGCGTGTAGACTGTTAGCATAGGTTGGGTAGACACATGTTTCTACTTTTGAGAAAAGCGGAATTTTTTGAACATCCAGAGGATCGACATCAACATTTAAGCAACTAACCAGATCAGCTGGTAAATTTTTAATATCACCGTCGTATTTTGTCACAAGATTGTTGATTATTCCACAATACAATGAATGTCTGAAGTTGGACCAGTACGTCACTGTATCTCGTCTCAGTGGTCCACAGGTTAAGTGTTCGATCTCAAGGTTGCAGGCCTTGGATTTCATTACTGGGTCCAAAGTCTTGAATACGCTCAGCCGATAAGCCGCATATTATTAAGGAACAGCTGTCTAGTACTTCAAACGTTTTAGTGATTATCAAAATTTAAATGATTCGTGGAGTAAATTAAGTTTAACAATCCCCACAACCTCATATTGAAATCGTAAAACGCTTAGCTCCTCGTGGTTTTTATCGATTGTGGAGAAATGGTGTTTGACCTAAGCGTCATGTAGTAGTATACGTAAGACGACAAACCTCTCAGAAAATATTTAGTCTATCCTGAAAGCTATAAATTTTCTTCGAGCTTTCATTTATTGAGGAAAAATAGGCTTTCGAATAAAAAATAGTTATGTTCGTTCCTATATACAGAGGAACAGTAGCATTCTCTAACACATGGACGAAAATTTATGTTTACTATCGTGCAGATATTGTTAATCTCATGATATGTGACCACAGACTCATTTTAATATACTCAATAATTCTACACTACTAAAAACTGCAGCACTCCAAACCCATACATCCTTAATTTTCGGCTTTCCTGTATATGCCTGTTCACTTGTTTGTGTCCCATTCATTGTCTGCCTTATTTATAACCTGGCGTGCACTTAAATAAACGGTCTTGTACAAATAATCATCATTCGGATTCACGTTTGTCTTCCTGTTATCAACCGCATAAGACTCTATCTTCCCGTTTCACTACGTATTCGATTCTTTAGTACCATTATTAAACGAGTGCAGTCAGTCAAATTTTGTGAGAGTATTTAATACATATAAATTTAATCGCGTATAGTGGTAGTTTAGACCATGTGAGGGTATAATAACAGATCTCTCTGAAGAAACGTACGCCCGAAAATCGGTTATATTTAGTTTACAACCATCTTTAACATCAATATTACACCGAATAGCTGACAGTTTACCAATAATAGCAGGAATAATTGGTGGAAAACATTGATTCCCCAATGTTGATAGGTTAAACCGTGCTCTATATGAAGCTGAGATACAATTGCATTATTGGCTTTTCGACTGAATGTGTGAATATATTCCACACGAGAAGCCTGGAAGCCATCCCATAAACATTTATGATGTTGTATAGCTTCACGAAATCATATCGCATAACGCAAAGTCTAATATTTGAACTGCGAGTCTTCATTCGGCTTTCTGATAACGAGGGATTACGATATCGATTATCAAAGACAGTCAAATAATTCGTAGTGTCAGTCGAATAATATTTGTTTATCTATGCTAAATTGGGATCTATTAGCCCCATCCGGTATGTATGTAGGATTTACTTTGTCTTGTTGTAACAGTAGGAAAAATCATTACATGTGATGTTACTAACACGAGTCTGTTTTTCTAATTGCAGGACAACAAAGAGTAAACGCACTGGAAGAAGAGGAAGAAGATCTACGGAATCTGAAACTGCAGAACGATAGATAAAACTATTTTGTAATAAGTTTTTCCTTTTTGTAATACGACCGCGTCTTTCAATTTTAAAATAT